ACAGTAAACCAAATCAAATTTGCTGGATTATTCTTTATCATGTTTAGTAGCCACCAGTTTTGGAAAAGTAAAAATATCTTGATTTTTTTTATATTTGCTTTGTGATCAGTGGCAAACATTTTATGCATATTTAATACGAGACAAATTAACATGAAATCTATGCTGGTAGTAATTTCAACATTTATGTGGATTAAAATTCTGTTCTTTTCGAAAAGATTGCAATCTTTATGAAATTTTCATTTTTTTTTTTCGTGTCAAACTCAAGTTTTTGAGTGCATGTAGAATATAACGATACTTAAACATCGATTTCCTTTCAATTTGGATGCATTAAAGAATTTCAAATCTATATTTATTAAATCTTAATTTCTATTAAATAAAGGTAGCCATTATCTAATTAAGTTTCCATATCGAGACTTGTTTTGAGTATAATGTTATCTGATTTGTAGATATTTCTCCAACGCAATCAGGTAAATGTATTTTCTAATTAAATTTATAGATTGTTAAATATCTCAGTTAATTGGAACTGCGTCTAAATGATCATGCGATGTTCTATCAGAATAGAGAATGGAAGCGGGGAATGTGTCAAAGAGACAACAACCCGACCAAAGAGAAGAAAACAGTCCAAGGCCACAAATGGATCTTCAACGCAGCAGCGATAAAATCCCTCACCCGGAAGCGGGCTTAACTGGATCTGGATCTGGATCCCTATTAATGATGGCATTCGAAATTTCTCTCTCTCTCTCTCTCTCTCTCTCTCTCTCTCTCTCTCTCTCTCTCTCTCTCTCTGTCTCTCTCTCTCTTAGCTGATCTAGTCTGAAGAAAATATTACATGAAGCAATATTGCTGATATGAATAATTTTTTTTTCCAATCCGCAGGATAACTAGTTCAAAATCTATACCAGATCGTCTGCTGATTAACTGACATAAACTCCTTTATTATAATAATACTTTATACAGAATATAAGCGTCAGACATGCAAAATTGACATATTTAATCTATTTAATCTGTAAATGTTGATGCATTGTTAGTTTATATTCAGTACATACAGACTAACAGACACTGTTCTGTTTTTATTGTTTAGTATTATTAAGAGGCGTCATTTTTTTGCGAATTATTAAAGCACTAAATTATAAGCCTGGTATCTTTGGTGATGTTTTTTGTTTAATTACTGACCATCGCTAGGTCAATGAAGTGTTTGTAAGAAAGGGGCCTTGTTTGTTATTGTTCCCAATGTTAATATCTATAAATAGGGTTTCTCATCTATGTCTTCTGAAACCATTGTCGAAAATTGATTAATATCCTGGGTAAATCCCGAGAAAAAATGAGGAATATTCTTTCTTTTAAAACAAGTGGGAACCCTGTTTGATTTCAGTCGTATTTATATGTTTGATGTTTAATATTTGTGCCTGTTTATTACTTTTGTATTCCTAACCTTTGGATGTAAGCGTATTTATTCGAGGATGAAACAGTTTTACCCTATTTCTCTGTTTGTCTTTTGCAAATTAACCTTGTTAAAAGGGAAGAAAAGCAACATTCAAAAGATTAATCAATGAAGCCACAGGGACACTTTGTATGAAGGTTAAAACTAGGGAACACCGAAGTGATTGTGTCACATGGAAAAATCCAAATACAAATTTATAAGACCACGAAAACTCCAAAATATACAAAATCCAACACATTACAAACCACGAAACGTACACACACATACACACAGCAGATACATGAACACTGAAAGCTAAAGCTTGAAAAATATGAGTGATGTCATGTGATTCGGCGGAGTACGTAAATGTTTACGTTAAAACACTCATAGGTTTATCACACTCAATAATGTTAAATCACCATTACCATATTATCATACTGAAAGACCTCTTACCGACTCCCATAACTATGACAATATAGACGTATGAATCCATTGATGACCCCTACGGTCAATATTAAACACTTAGAGAAATAGCCAATCGTCACATCAATTATCACAACTATATAATAACTTTAATTATAAGGGGTGTTGATTTGATTTGAGATGACAAATAAATTAACCGCACGAGATATACACCTTTCCGTCGTTCATTACTAATTCACAACCACCATATGCAATTACTACTTGTTAATGAAATAAACAACCAACGGATTTTTTTTTTCACATTATCAAGTTCATCACGAACTTGGTCATTGACTCAAAAATAGTACTACATGTATTTACGTATAATAAGTATTCATTCAAGCAGAAGAGGTGCTATCAACTAATTAACAATTAATTTCTAAGCAATATATCCTAATAAGGTTACTAATATGTAGGAAACAGCTCGCACTACGGGGAAAGTAAAAATCGAGAAAACCGTTGAAAAACATTTACGTTCTTCTCATAGATTCTCACTGTAACCCCAATATATTTTCTAGCACACCAAGCACATCAAGCGATACAACTGCTGGTGTACTGCCCGTCTCCAAGGGTATCAGCAGCTCAGTAGTCGTTGCTGGATACTGGCATGATTTAAAATATATATTTCTTGAATTCTCCGTTGATAAATTAAGAATTTTTTTTTCTTCTGATATAATCGATCGAAGTTATCTACAAAAGATTGATTAATTAATTGTTGGTGATTAACTCCACTTTCAGCACTCTTAGCTATATCGTGGGAGCCAGTTTTTAATGACGGAGGAAACCAAAGTGCACAGACAGAACAACCGACCTTCGCTAGAAACACTTGAAGACCTTTTTAATGAAGATCGTAGTCGAACGCTTTTGCCACGAGCGGGTTCGAACTCACAACCTTACTGTTTACAGGCTGGGGATTGTTGTAAGACCACTCAGTCACCGAGACCCCTATCCACATAAAAAGGCGGTGATAAGTAAAAGAGAAAAGAACTCACACGAGAAAAAAAACCCAGGTTTGAATACTTACAATCCCATCCTCTTTTCCCTGAATGTGACCTACCGAATTAGACTTATCACCGGGTTTGTACTAATATGATCAACACGACGAGTGCCATTTGTGGAGCAGGACCTGCTTACCTTTCCGGAGCACCTGAGATCACCCCAATTTTTGGTGGGGTTCTTGTTGCTCAGTTTTTAGTTTTCTATGTTGTTGGTCTTTTTCTTTTGTAGCCATGGCGTTGTCAGCTTATTTTCGAATTATGAGTTTGAATGTCCCTTTTGTATCTTTCGCCTCTCTTTTACGATTGTTATAATACTGCCAAGTGTACCACAATAAATGTACAGAACAAGGTATTGTAATAGATGAAAGATTGAAATATTTAAGCATATAAAATAACATTGCAAGGTATATAAAAAAAGGGAGCGTAAATTTGCCAATTGTCCATTTTTAATGAAAATTGCACCTTCATTTTTCTGCTTTTAACAAAATATCTTATCAAAATCATGTAATCAGTTTGACGTTATAGTTACAACTAGAAAATGATTGGCCGTCTCATTGAAAGTTGTGTGGTAATATCTTGGAACGAACCTTAGTTTTGTGAATAAAAATAATACCTTATCAATTTAATGCGTTCGAATCGTTTTTCTAGATTGACATTCACCAGGAACGCTCAGAAGGAAAACAATCAAAAGCCAGGGATGTGTAAATACTTAACGATCTAAATGACCAAAAGAAACCTATACAGAATATTAAAAAAAAAATCACGTAAATGCAACATTGCCAGAGGAAGTCTTAAATCTAATTTCTGGATAATATGTGAATAATTATTTAAGAAAACCTAGATTCTATCGATGTGTAGACATGTACTAACATTCATCACCACATAAGGGGTCCCTTAGGTCCCATATGTAATTTCATCAACATTGCCCCATCAAATAGGAAAATAACTGGACAGACGAAGGACGTCAGCATTTGGAGGTTTATGATCTAGACAGAAGACAACTCTAATATAACATTCGGGTTGAATTTGATTTGCCAGCCTTCGTCGGCAAAAAATCAAAAAGAAAGAAACTTATGCTGCGTTCACACGTAATTCGAATTCGATTCGCATTAACTAATTCGAATTAGTTTAATTCGCATTCCAAACGTTTAACGTCCAAACGTAAATTCTAATTCGAATTGCAATGTGCGTCAAATTCGCTTTACTGTCCTAACGACGTTAACTTTTAATTCTTATTAACAAAAACGCATTTCTAATGCGAATTGGATAATGCGATTTAGCCAATTCGAATCAATTCGAATTAAAATAGAAGAGTGTGTGAACGCGATTAGCGAATTCGATTCGCATTCGATTCGAATTCAATTCGAATTAAATGTACGTGTGAACGAGGCATTAGAGCAAACATTTATAGGCCAACAACCTTTCCTACGGTAAAACAACATGTTTCAGAAACAACCCGAACTGAAGGCACACCCTATGCCAACGACGGGAGTTGTAAGTTATAATTATGAATAATAAATGTAGACATATTAGAACACCATATTTCTTCTTGCGTTCGAAGAGCAGTTTTAGATTAGTCTTTAAAAAGAACGACCAGAGATGTTAATTTGAAATATAAGAGGTCAAACAAATGGCATTATCATACCTTCTCCATAGCATACCCCTGTCCTATGATACAAACGGGAGTACTCAATCTGTAGCACTGAATTATGTCCCAACAAACTCTTCAAGAACGACATGATGTGCTAACTATGGTTTAGGAAGATATAGAACAAATAAAGCCTAACATAATTATAGTGTATATATATATATTACTAAACTTGTTGACTTTATCCAAAGAACCATGAAAATTAACTTTGAGATATGTTGGTTTTTTTGGGCATAATTCAGTGCTACAGATTGAGTACTCCCGTTTGTATCATGGGACAGGGGTATGCTATGGAGAAGGTATGATAATGCCACTTGATTGACATTTTATATTTCAAAATAACAAACATATTATAAATCTCTTGAATGAAATGCTTCAAATGTTATTAAGACAAACTCCTTGCATTTTGGCTATAAATAGCCCCGTTTTGACATCTTGTAATTAATATTTAGATTTAAGTCATGACTTTATACTAACAGAAAATGTGTTACAAGATGTATTTTACATAGATGCAAATGTGTGTAAAATAATTTTTTGGGTAAGGCACATATATATTTTCATTGGAAACAAAGCTTAAAATGGTAGCTTAGGTAAATTATGTCAATTTCGACATCTTTGTGATGTCATAGTGACATCTAAAGTGACCTTTTTGTATAAAAGTGTCCAGATTTGTTTTTATTCCTTCAAATAGTTTTAAATGAAAATGTCTGTTGCAACCTCTTCATACATTCATGACAAAAAATCAAGAAGTATTATACATAGCAGAAGAAAAGGGAACCAGATTATCAAGTCGTGACGAAATAGGACACTAACACTGTGGGCTTTATGGAATCAGCAGTGATACATTTTTGTACTTACAAATATTACTTAATCCCTTTTTGTAATATGTCATAGATCCACTAATACTAATGTGTTTTACACAGTTGACAAAAACAATTATGATATTGATTTCACCGCTTCACAGATAATTGTTTGATTCCATAGCAATATATTGATAATATTTGTATATATTATAGATTTATAAATATATGCCAATTACATAATATGCATACAAACACTGCCTTATGATTATTGGTTCAATAACAAAAAGAAACAAAACAGGTACATTGTATATTGCATACTAATTCGGATGATTAGATCCTTTAATGACCAACGTTGGTGTAGCTTGTGTCCTATTTGTTAACCTTGGCCGCGGAGATAGAGATCTTGAAACTGTTCTCTTTGTTGTTAGATGATTAGTAGTTTGACCTCTCGCTGTTGACCTTGTTTTACCACATGTAATTGTCAAAGGCTTTATAATTGAATTGGTTCCCTTTTCAAATGAATCATCATCATCTTGCTGAATTGCATCTACAATACTGCTTTCGGAATGACTAAAATTAGACTGCATATTAGGAGTAAGAACTGTTACACATTTTCCATCTTGGCTCCGCCGTTTCATCATCGGTGATGGAACTTCTAAGCTATTCGAGCTGGCACTTCTTTCTGGTTTCTTTTGAGCATATTCCGGAAGACCCTGAACTGGCTTCCCCACTGGTGGTAGTTTTTCATCACATTTTTCAACTTTGATGTGGGGAAAAGTTCCAGTTTGTTCCTCAATTAATGTAACACTTTGGTCTCCATTTTCATCTTCAAAATCATTGTCGGAACGAGGTGCAGGGGAATAAAACATTTTCCTATAATCCCTTCCATCAGTTGGAGATGCAGAGCGCATGTCTTGTCGAAGCCCTAACAATTGGTTATATCCCTTTCTTGTGTCTGACTGTTTTGGAGAGGTTACTTCCGCAATCTTTTTACTATCCTTTCCGACGGAAGCTATCGGAACTTGTTTGGCTTTGAGAGGTGGCAAGTCAAAAGTTTTAACTAACTTTTCACTCCTTTTCATTCTGTTTGCTGACTGTAACGATAAGAGTCTCATCCGATAATTAATAGTGTTTATTTTATCAATTACATCTTTGGATAAACGCCGTAAATCTCGGTCCAATGTCAAATTATAGAATGAGCAGCCTTTTAATATAGCATGTCCAGTTTTGCTACGAACGATACGTACATCAACAAATTTCTTTCTGCTATTTCTACCTTCGTATCCCATTAGTTCCAGGTAAGTTAATTGATCAGTTTTCCAATAAATAAGTTTGCGCTCAAAGATCCAATAGCCGAGTCAATATTATCGCACTGGTACCTACAGTTCTGTTACAATTCTGTAGAGGAAAGAAGTCAATTTCAACAATAAAATGTTTGGTATTAAAATATCATTAATACAAAATCTATCCATGATCCACTATGTAGTTCAAAAGGTAAAAACATTGCCGACCTTGAAATAATTTTGTTTTATTTCTTTTGATTGCATTTGTTTAGGTTATCATAGAAAGACAAATGTCTAGACCAAATTATAATGAAATAATATTTGCCAAATAGAGAAAATGTGGTAATTGTCATAATATTGCTCCTTCAACATCAAATTAAGGATATTTGTCAATCTTTTCAAAATTATATTATTCATTGACATTAAAATCAATACGATAAAAACAATTTTCGGTTTAAGTACATATATATATATATATATATATGATCTCACTGAGACATCCAAAATAGTCATGCTATACATTTTTCTGCAGAAATAGCAAATTATGCTCTTCCGCGTCACTCAAAAAGCTGTTTTATTGACATCAACAATAATGTATACGACAGTTTGTGACAAAATAACGGTTAGGGTACGACTGTAACTCATAAATGTGAATAGCTAAATCTCATTTATTTGTTCCTACTCAAACTTAATCATAAATCTGTCTTGTGTAATAACGAAAATATTGCATATGGCTTTATTTGAAATTAATGATTAAAATCACGAGACTGAAACTACTCATTAGCAGATAAAATACCCATATTATTTTAATCGTGTTTTTCTGTTATCTAGTATACCGTCATGTAAAGGAAAATTATTTTCCTTGACTGATATTTATATATGCTCTTTCATGTACTTTCGTTGCTGAACTGAAGATACTTAATTAATTTGGTACGTCTCACGTAATTAAACTTTCTATCAATAAATTAATGATTTTAGAAGTAATACTCACCTTTGACGTGTACAGCAACAATTGAATTTAAAACAATTTTTATGGTGTTGACATTTGTTAGATTGAAGTGTATTTCACTATTCGAACAATATCAAGACCATTTACAGTCCTATTCCATGGTATTAAGTTAGATTATAAAACTTATTGGCATGAAACTTATGAAGTGTTTTCATTTTTACAGCACTTGGGCTATACCGCTGCTGATCAACAAACCTTGCTTAATTAGTCCGTTTTTAAATTTGGAAATTATCAAGAAACTAAGGTTTCAACTCCTTCAAAATCAATCGATTTGGCTATAATTGACAACTAATAGTATTTGGCGAAAGGTGCTTAATTATAATAATGCAATCATATAAAGTTATACAAAACATGGCATCAATGAGCAACGTGTCAATATGAAGCACCTGAACCCGATTGGTAATAAAAAAATAAAGAGAAAAAAAATCAAATACATGATAAAATGTGTCTGGAACCTGCTCTAGATCTCTTGCTTAAAACCACATGTTAACTAAAACCCGGATGAAGTAACAGGGGGGGGGGGGGGGTCTAGTACAAGTCGTTAGCAATTAGGTACAATGAGAGATACCTCCCATTGTTCGCTAGTCAGTTTAGATCCTTTTTGTTAATGAAGGTCTTCAACTGTTTCAGTTCTTTACATTCGTGGCTTTCAAATATTCGGTTTTGAGTGTTCCTGGTGAAGGTAAATCCAGAGAAAGCGCTTCAGACGTATGAAATTTATCAAGTGTTGTTTTCATTTTTTATAGTAAAATTTGAGTTTAAAGCAAGACTGTTTTGATTATAGATCGATGCATGCATAGAAGGAGAGGCTTACCCTGTAGACTCTTCCAGTCGCGCTTCGTTTAGATTTGTCGCGATTTCCTCAGTTTTTGTACGTGACCTTGATTTGTCTCTTCTTTTGTCAATTTATGAGATTTGAAAATCGATAAACTACGTCATCTGTCTATGCCAATATCGAGGAAAAGTTCAAGATATGAAGAAACCTTCTTTTGGTATAAGAAAAATATTTAATAACTGACGCTCAATTAACAAGCAATTCACCTCTATGAACTGAAATATAAATTATCAAATCTTGTATGCTGATTAGAGTGTTACTTTTGCGGATTGGTATATATATATGTGTGCAACAACATGACGACTTAATTAACGTATGTGCGACGATAGATCAAACATTAACAGCAATGTAAATAACATTATCAATCAACATTGCAATCAGTCTGATGTCAAACTTTTCTATGTGAGTTCGCAACATTGATAAAAAATATGCCACAAATTAACATGGATTGACAGGATGTTATTTATACAAAATCCTTTGGGTATTTATCACCTCCCCACAATGCTCTATTCACAACCCTTTCAAAACATAATTCGCTGTACAGTTGATGTTGGAAACCAATGTTACTATCCTCATTAAAACCAATACAATCAGGTCAAATCATTTGGCATTTCAACCAAAAATTGGAAGGACTGGATCTTCCTTCACTGTATTTGATACCTAAATTTTATAAGTGCCTTTACAAACAACGCTATATTGTTAGGTTTGTCAAATGTTTCCAAACTGTTACATCAATTTTATCAGCAATCAAAGTCGGGCTTCAGAGTTATTGTAAAACTGCCTTCTCTATAGGGCGGTGTGAATCCGATGCAAACGCTAAACTGGAGTTTTAACTAAATAATTGAAAGTCTAGTTGTATGCATCCATCCCATTGGTACAAACAAGTCTGCCTCATATCTTGACTTGTCTTAGGGTCGGTTGAAAATAAAACTTCACGATACAAGAACTGGTTTTAGCTTCCCAATTGTGAAATTTCAGTTTTTATGTAGCAACATTGAAGCAGCGCCTGTATATGAAGTTCATGTCATCCAGTCGATACGATATTCCAGATATTGCGATTCCTATCATTATTTACATGATAACGGGATGTACTTACAAGGACGATATTAAACCAAGCGGAAATTTGAAGTCATCGTTTCAAATTTTGACGGAAGCCATCACGGGTTGGTTAATCGTTATGAAATATCTGTTTCACAGATAGCGAGAATATAACAACAATTCCTTCATCTTTTCCTAGAATGTGACATCTTCTAATGAGACATATCACCGAGTGTATACTTACATTAGCAACACGATGGGGGATTTATGTGTTATAAATAAGAAAATGTGGTATGAGTGCCAATGAGACAACTATCCATCCAATTAGCCTTAATAAGTTCACCTCCGGTTTTTGGTTTGGCATCATATTATTCAGACGTTTTTGGGTTTTTCCATGGCGTTGTCAGCTTAGTTTCGATTTAAAAGACTAGTATGAATTTACTTTTAGTATATACGGCCTCTCTATTAGAATGTTATATGAACTCATATAAAACATCTAACATTGTTCGTTTAATATTTGTCTGGTCTTCGTGCAAGAGAATGATATAAATTGTGTGAACTGCAAAACAAGTCTTATAATTACAATAGAATCTATATAAGATTTAGTAACAACTTTCAGATTTGACCAATGAGATTTTCGAAAGCTAATTATATATGTTTCAGTTATTCAAATAAATAAATGGAATGAGACCATGAAATATCTGCGTTATCTTTTTTACCATCTGATATAATTTTATAGACTCTGTTTGGTTTTTGGAAATAGTCTAACTTAAGTTAGTTTATAGCACTCCATATAACCTCTGTCAAAATCTCGTTACACGCATGATATTTTCAAAAACTAATTTCAAATGTTTCAGTTATACCAGTCACTAAATTAAATGAGACCATGAAATCTCTACGTTATTTTTTACCATTTAATATCTTTATAATTGTACCCTGTTTAGTTTTTAGAAATAGTAATATAAATTGGTTTATAGTGGTCCGTAAGTCTATCATTTGTTTTATGTCTGCATTAAATCAGCACTTCAACTGTCTATTGGTACAATGTAATAATCTCATGCAGAAATGTTTCCCTCAAATCTTAGGGATAAGGTCTTAAAAAAAAACAGGTACTTTTATTAAGTATGCCAAACTCTCTTTTCGTCTGCATTAAACCCATACATGAGGCTAGAATCAAAACAATTGGATGACTAAATCAATTTCATCGTTGTACATGTTGTAGAGCAATCAAGAAAAAAAAAAGAAAAAGTTAAAAGAGAGGCGAAAGATACCAAAGGGACATTCAAACTCATAAGTCGAAAATAAACTGACAACGCCATGGCTAAAAAAGAAAAAGACCAACAGACAAACAAAAGTACACAAAACACTACATAAAAAAATAAAGACTGAGCAACACGAACCCCACCATAAACTGGGGGTGCCCCGGAAGGGTAAGCAGATCCTGCTCCACATGTGGCACCCGTCGTGTTGCTCATGTTAGTACAAACCCGGTAATAAGTCTAATTCGGTTGGTCACATTCGGGAAAAGGGGACAGCGACTCTTTTCACAAAAAATCTTACGATTAAAATTGAGCGTAAGTTATACTGAAATGTGTATGACTTACGAGTATTTTTACTCTTAAGATTTTTTGTGAAAAGACCCGCAGGTTTGTAGTTGCGACATTAGGAACATATCCGCTATCATCTGTGAAACGGATATTCCGTAACGGTCAACCAACTCGTGATGGCGTCCGTAAAATTTACGAAGGGATGATATCAACTTCACCACTTGAAACTCTTTGTTTAATACCTTCCAACCGTCCATCAAGGAAATCATGATAGGAAATACAAGCCCTGGAGTATCGTATCAACTGGGAGATATATACTCCGTATGCAGGCGCTGCTGGAATGTTGCTACATAAAAATGGAAAGTTCAAAATTGGGAAGCTGAAATCATCTCTTTTGTCATAAAGTTTTGTTTTAAGTTATTCAAATCTGGCTATCAATAACTTGTATGTTAGCACCAGAGAAGAGTTTGATTTAATTTCTTCTGGGCTTGTAAAATCTTCAGGGACGAAACTGGCTTATAATCTTAGTACGCCAAATCTGTATTATATACCAGTGTTCCCGTCTGCCCAAAATAAAAGGACAGACAACCATTAATACCCCTAAACCCTACCTTCTTTCCTTAGAAACAATGTACCCTCTGTTTTTTAAAAATAAACTTATTCAAATTTCATATACGTCGGTGTTCCCAGTTCAGTTGTTATCAGGTTTTGTAAGCCTTATGATTGGCAGACAATGCCGTACAGTAACTGATCATTGTTATAGTATATGTGAAATGTTCTGTTATTTCATATTTTACATATCTTTGTGTTTCATGTAATGTAACCTACATTTTGTACGTACATAAATTGGTTATTACATTTGTATGGAGATGAGGGTTTTCAACAGGATACATAACTCGTATTTATTTTACGTGTCGGACTGAAATATGTGTACTGCATTTGTAATGGATAATGTAATATCTTAAATTCTAGTCGTCTTACTTTATACGCAAATATTATTAGGTGTTGTTCGTAAATACGATTCTAAATTATATACGAATCTGTGTACACATAGATTATTACAACAAATTAATCTCGTCCGCCTGATAGTTTTTTTTCCTTTGTTGAAAAAGTTTAAATTTCGAAATAAATCAGAAACATCTATATAAACTGTAAACAAATTTGAGTGCATTTAAGTGTAGATTTGATAAATCATTTGAGTTTTTTAATCAAATTATGTTAAGAAAAAAAAATGGTTCATCTAAAAGACATCTAATTCTAGTTAACATAAAACAATAGTTATAGACATGAATCACGCTTTCCATCGATAATTTTAACCGTAATTGATTTAAATCTTTTTTTGAAATTAATGTCATGTACCATTTGGTAACCTGATATGGTAAAGAATACATGAAATCAATTTGACGAGGAAGGATGAAGGGGCGATATGATCCACTTGAAATTTACAAACACTTTAATTGTAACTTTTTTTAGAAGGTGAAAAAAGGGATTTTGTTTTAAATGTTTTGTCGTTTTGTTCAGACATCCGGAATATAAAAGACAACGTAATTACTAAGATGTCGTTACACATATTGCATTATGACGTAGGTTAACATCTGTATCATCCTAAACACTTTGGAAACGTTCTGCATAGGCAATTTTGAAATTGTCACCGTTGGAAGTTGAAAAGGTCGTATGAGGTGACTTTTTCTTGGCATCTTCATAATTTTCCCCCATCTTGCTATAAACGTATTACTGGTCTTTCGTGCAGATGACAAAGTCAAGTTATAGATCATTACTTCGTTGTTATCACATGACTAATTTATGTAAACTGAGATTAGATCCAGAGAAACGAACTATTCCAAAAGTACTGACCTGCTGTCTATCATGTATATTGTTTAAACTCCAAATACGCCAATTGCAGTTCAGTATAACACAGCCAATCAAAATGTAATTATTTTTCAATAGAAACTGTTCTTTCTTAATGTAATATAACTCATTATTCTAGTTAGATTTTTTTCTGTATGTGCTAACACTACACTTTATATACACTTCGTCTCAAATTCAGCCCGACAATGTTGAATCTGCTAGTTTGCCTTCATTGCGTCAGTTGGATGTGAACCAATGCTTCTGACGTAGCGAACCCGCCTGTACTATGTCAAACCAGCTAGACTGCTCAACCAACTAGGCTATATAAAATATAGCGTTCGTTAGACGAGTGATATCTTTTTTCGTTGGTTTTACCTAGATTAGTGACATAGTACACGATCTATTGTGGCATGTTGATCAGTGGTAACAATTCATACCAAGATACCAGGCCTATAACTTGGAAAAGGATGATAAATACAAATGAAATACTTTCCAAGCAGTCACATACTAACGAAAGCTATATTTTTATATAGCCTAAATTGTCTAGTGGTCTATGTGGTTGTATACAGTGCAGATTTGGTTGCAACAATTTCACAGAAGCTGGTTTAAAACCCGATGAGGGAAGGAAAAAAATTGCTACCGCAAATTTGCAAGTTAACATTGTTTGAGACGGAGTATATAACTATACATATATACAAATAACAGTCAAATTGAAAAATAAACAGAACAAAATGTAATGTTATTTTAAAAGTAAAAGTAATTCGTACAAACATGCTGAAAAAAGATTTTAATAAATGCAGTACAAATGCAAGTCATCCTAGATTTTAAACATCTTTTTTGGGGGATGGGGCAAATTCTTAAGGAGGTACTAGTAAAGAAATATTCCATCTTCTTCGTCGTCGTCATTACTTTACACAAATACTAATAATACTAATAATAATAATAATTGTTTTTTTAATTATTATTATCTTTACAGTTGTTGATGCCGCTGTTGTTGTAATAATATACAAATGAATTAAAAGAAAAATAGAAAAATTCCTGCAGGAGACATACGACGTTGTCAAAATGTTCATACATGTATTGTTAAACTACCTTAATTTCTTACCGTGCTTAAAGCCTGTTCATGCCATAGATATTTATGTACTATGGTTTTTAAGTACTGTTTACTAATTTTAAGTATCGTATATTTATTTGAATGACTCAGTTGTTCGGATTTATATTAAATTTTATCACATTTTTCTATATTTTTTAAGGTTAAAGTATTATTTAATTTACCTATGTGAATTTCAATAACTCTCACAGGGGTGCTTATTAACTACAGATGGTTAGATTTACAACATTTTTCTCTTTGTTTAAGAACATATAATATAGTTCTATTTTATATCGATTTAATGCCAGTTCACTGACACAGAATAAACAAATGCATTGTTTTTGTTGTTTATTGTTCAGTTTTAAAGACTAGGAGGTGTCGCCGGGATACCGATCACAACGTTACAGTTACTGTGGCTATCATATAAACATTTAAAGTAAATAGATAGAGGTTTGTTGTTTGTATAAAACCACTGGTCCTTATAAAATTGTCATTATGTAACTTTTTATGTAAAACAGAGCTTTTATATACTTTCCGGACATATGTTATTTTAAAGCCATGTATCTGCAAATATATTTTTTATTTGGATCTTAATGAAAAATTCCTTACGATTTCCTCTTTGCAAAATCATTAAACTGTAGACACCCAATATAACCAATATGTACATAGACAAAACTATATATTCAAAAAGATATTTGGAAAATAACGTCTTGTTTGAAGTTCAATTGAAGTTCAATTTCATTATTGAATTTTTAAGAAACTATCGATCAACAAATCAAGTAATATCTGCAGGTATCAAACTGGTTAAACACTTACACAATAAATTAGAAGGGGTAAATATATGATTTAATACATGGATATCAAGTTTTCAGTTTCATTTCGTAACGAATACAAATTTACATGATATTTTGTGTCTTTTATTTTCTACGGTTTAAATGTATTACCTTTTAATGACCTTAAGTCTCCGAAAATAATAAGTAACTTATATTTCATATGGACATGCAGATGGTGTTTGTAACAAACCCGATAACTTATTTGTCATAACAGAACCCAGAACCCAGATTGAATAAAGAAAACGGATTTAAGGTGATACTAAAACAAATGAAAAAGCATGATTCAACAAACACAGGAAAATTTCTTTCTTGCATAAGCAACACAACAGGTGTTACGTGTGAAGCAGGAACTGCTTACCCTTCCAGAGCACCTGGGTTCGCCCCATTTTTTGGTTTGGTTCGTGTTGCTTCATCTTTAGTTGATGTAGTGGTTTGTGGATTTGTTCATCTTTTTGTTGTTTTTGTTTTTTTTTTTTTTTTGGTAATAGCATTTTCTTTGACAACTACAACAAACCTGATTTATATTTACATATATATTTATATATAAACAATTGCAACAGACCTGATAGGACATCAAAGTAATAAAAAAACGATTTATTAGACGTATTTACATTAAAATTCAAATTTCAAACATTGTTAAACCATGAAATGAGTTATGCTTTGAAAAAAAATAAACAAAGTGTGTTTATGCGGTATGGGTTTTGCTCATTGTTGAAGGCAATACTGTGACCTATAGCTGTTAATTTCTGTGTCATTTGGTCTCTTCTGGAGAGTTGTCTCATTGGCAATCATACCACATCTTCTTATTTTTATATTATAGAAAAATAGTGTTCATTGTTGAACATGTGAGTTGCATATGAGGAAATACACATTTTTAAATGGATCAAAGGAAAAGTATTTTTCTGACAGAAATTGTGTATCTAGATTCCAACACCAAATGGAAAACTCAACAAAAGATATTTATTCAGTTACATAGTTGTTTTAAGATCTTTTTGGATGTGTGTGGATATCCTGTGCTGTACGTGTGATTAGTTTCTACCTTACATTTTGGATGTTCGTGGATATCATGTTCTGTACGTGTGATTTGTTTCTACCTTACATGTTGGATGTTTGTGGATATTCTGTGCTGTACGTGTGATTAGTTTCTACCTTACATGTTGGATGTTTGTGGATATCCTGTGCTGTACGTGTGATTAGTTTCTACCTTACATGTTGGGTGTTTGTGGATATGCTGTACTGTACGTGTGATTAGTTTCTACCTTACATGTTAGATGTTTGCGAATATCATGTGCTGTGTGTACGTGTGATTAGTTTCTACCTTACAATTAGGATGTTTGTGGATATCCTGTTCTGTACGTGTGATTAGTTTCTACCTTACATGTTGGATGTTTATGGATATCCTGTATGTACGTGTGATAAGTTTCTACCTTACATGTTGGATGTTTGTGGATATGCTGTACTGTACATGTGATTAGTTTCTACCTTACATGTTAGATGTTTGCAAATATCCTGTCTTGTGTGTACGTGTGATTAGTTTCTACCTTACATTTTGGATGTTTGTGGATACCTGTTCTGTACGTGTGATTAGTTTCTACCTTACATGTTGGATGTTTGTGGATATCCTGTTCTGTACGTGTGATTAGTTTCTACCTTACATGTTGAATGTAATCAAAATGTTTGGGTTTGGACATTGCATCACTAAAATAAATACACTGAAAAAAAGGAAGATATATTGTTGTACATATTGAAAATTCTATTTTTTCGATTATATCATATCTTTATTGAGTTTATAAACAAACACACATTATATATATTTACATTTCTAGACATTCAGAGAATCTATGTACAATAATCAATTAATAAAATATTCCAAACCTTTTCTTCACAGAATGTCAAATCATCGAGTACAAGTTTATTATCATTGCCATAATGCAATTCGTATCAAGAGTAGTTACACGAAACAATACCGTATCGGTTATTCAAATTATAATTTCACAATTTGCTTAATCAAGTACATTAAAATACTAGGCATAAATGTTTTTAACTCCTTGCCGACGTCAATCTCGGATTTTAGCGTATGTGGATAACTCAATTTGCGACAATAAAATTGACGATTGAGGTCGGCAAGTTTATCATTACAAATCAGTTATTCCTTAATTGTCCTCAAGATGATATAGAAGAATGTAGTTATCGTGGTACCGCATGTTCATCAGCCTAAACGTATGTATACTTTGTCCTTTAAAATTTGATATATCTGTTTCATAATTTGTAATATATTTAAACTAAAAAACGTATGATGTGATTTGCTCATAAAGTGTAAATCAATATGATAACCAAACGATATATAGGTACACGATATTTCCCCTGGTCCTACAGAAAGGCGCCGATATTTTCTTTTGTCGTAAAACAAACGAAGCATTTTATTCATTCCGACAGTGCGCATATATGATGGTCGCGACGGGGGACCTTCATTTATATATTGTTTTATTTTTGAGACCATCTGTCTCCTTTCTGTATCTATTTTGACCATTATTCTCTATTCTTTTTTCCCCTAGTTTTCTACATTCTTTATGTTTTTGTCCTTTATTCTGAACCTTTTGTCCATTTTTCTCTATCCTGTAAACCCCATCCAGACCCTCATATATTGTTTTATCCTTAAGTTCTTTTTTGACGCTTGAACGTTTTTCCGTTTTTTATTTCTCTACTGCTATCTTTGATTCTTATCGGAGTCAACATGGTTTAAACGCGGACAACTAAGAGTATCCCCGGAAATTGAACTCTGACGTCAGCAATAATTTGAACATTAACCTTCGGTCAAAATAAAATCAAGATAACAGGAAACTGTAATATAAGCTATACAAATAAGCATCATTTTTTTAGTATACCTCTTATTTGTTCAATACTTGACAGATTGCAAAATAAAATAATATATACTTAGAGTATTTAAGTTACACTTTGTACAGTATGATGATAGCTTTAAGTTTACGTAAATTCCATATTTTCCGAAATAGTGCATAGCGGGCTAATATAAAAACAGTATTTGCTGCTTTCGGTTATCAAATCTCATGTATGCTTGAAACGTAAGTGCATGGCAATTCGTCGTATGAAATGTTAGGAAAATATACGTCAACGTTACGAATTCAATGGAAAAATGCAACACAGTAGAATAAAAGACAAATATTAGGCAGCAGGTAATACATCATGAAAAATGTAAAACATATAATACAATATATGCATTATGATAGCTTTCAAACTTTTGATACTTTATATGCTCTATGAAAGTGCTCAAAGCGATGATCTAGTTCACAAGTTGAGGTATGTCATAATGTTTTAATACATTTTTGTCGTACAAAACTATTAGTGTGAAATCCTAAACGATATAAGGATGCATAATTATTGTACAGTTTAATATATCTTAAATATGATTATAAATATTTTCAACTGCCTATGTTGTTCACTTCACTACAAACCAGTAAAAGTCTGAAATGGCCTATATTTGTACTCGACTGTACTGATTCTTACTCGACCAGTCTGAATTGGTCTGAAATTTACTTGATAATACTCGACTGTAGTCTGAACCATACTTAACAGTCTAAACTTGTACTCGACCTTTACTCGACCAGTACTTAACCATTTTATTTTCGTCTGAACCATGCTCGACCTAGTCTGAACCATACTCGACCTAGTCTGAAACATACTCAACTAAGTCTTAACCAACCTAGACCTAATTTTTGTATCTATTTATTGTATTTCATCAATTTGGGAACTGTTTTTAACAGCTATTTCCCCTGGCTAGAAATTTGAACAACAATTTGAAATTTAAAATGTATTCAATATGGCATTGAAACCAAAATTTCACAATAAACATAATATAAATTCAACACCATATTTATCAATACTTACATATATAAATCACCTTTAAAATAAAAATAAAACAAGCTGATCAAATAATCTCAAAACTGAATTGTGACTAATATTTTCAATGTTATTCAAATTTTTTTGAATGTTTCAGATATATTTTATGGTTACTGGACAATTTTCACCATTTACTTAAGCCTTGTATAGATTTATGGAGTCAGTTGAGTTTAGTTAATAATGCAGTGAACATTTTTTTTATTAAAATATATTTAAAATAGTATATAATGCAACTTAATAAATTTTAAAAATCACACCTTTGTTTTGTAAAACCAAGAATTTAATATAATCATGATAATAGAACTTCCATAGCAATCCTTGATAACCATTTA